CAAACCCAATGCAGAGTGGAGGGTGTCACAGCCGTGAGGCACTCTCAGAAAACCCAACAGCATTCACAGCTGGCTGTGTAACTTTTCAGTGTCTGATCACTGCCTCCCAGCCTGATATCCAAAGTGTAGATGTGGGGTGTTGAGAAGTGGCTTGCCATTAGTAGGGTTCAGAGTTAGCACCACATTGAGATGGACTGAGGCCAGCTTGCCCCTCTCTGATAGCTGTTGTGTGAGGCCCACTACAGACTCAGGCAGAAGTTAGTTTGTTCTGGAACAGCCTTCTAGGAGGAGCAGTGAGGGCAAACAACCTAACTGGCTTCAAGACTAAGCTTGATAAGTTTATGGAGGGGATGGGATGATGAGACTGCCTATGATGGCATGTAGCCGATCTGTAACTGCTAGCAGCAAAAATCTCCAACAGGCGGTGATGGGACACTAGATGGGGAGGGCTCAGAATTCTCTATAGTAACTCATTCTCAAGTGTCTGGCTGGTGGGTCTCCCCCACAAGCTCAGGGTCTATCTGATCGCCATATTTGGGACTAGGAAGGAATTTCCCCCAGGTCAGATTGGCAGAGACCTGAGGGGAGGGGTCGCCTTCCTCTGCAGAACGCGGTACAGGTCACTTGCAGGTTTCAACTAGTGTCAATGGTGGATTCTCTGTAACTTGAAGTCCTTAAACCACGACTGGAGGACTTCAGTAACTCAGCCAGAGCTTCGGGGTCTATTACAGCAGTGGGTGGTGAGGTTCTGTGGCCTTCAATGTACCAGAGGTCAGAGTAGGTGAACTTCTGACCTTAAAGTCTATGAGTCTTATTGAGTGGTTCACCCTTAATCTAAAGAACCAAAACCTGGGAAATACCAGACAGGGGACCATCAAACAGGAGTAAAAAGCTTCAGCAAAGAGCTCCAGGATACATAGCAGGGCTCATGTGGCAGTGAGTTCCAAAGATAAAGGACCCATTCATAAGATGACATTATCTGAAGAAGCCACCCCAGAGACAGCTGCATCTCAGCGCTGGGCGAGCCATCCCCATGTAGTATTGCTGTGCTGCTCTTGTTCAGCTGTTCCACCCCAGAGGTGACCGCATCTCAGTCCCAGGTGACCATTACCCAGCAGTAGAAAGAGTTGAATATTTGCTAAGGGTTTTTGTTTTCAGTTCTAAGAAATACCTCATTTCTGAGAAGAGGCAGTTAGGATGTCATTTCTGGACGGAGAGACAATGGTAACATCCAGTAATTCACAAGGGGGTGTATCTCTGGCCAAACTGTCCCCCTCCTTCTCCGCCCCCGCACCCCCCGCCAAGGTTGGTCACAATTCCTGGCACTTTCAGTGCTCTTTAAAGCACGTGCACTTCCAGACCCTGCTGCTCCGAAGAGCCCGTGTGGGGATCTGGGGAATGAAGAGTCTCTGCACCCTCCAGTCTCTGTCACTTGCTTTTCCAGCCTGGCCCCACCTCTCTGGGCCCCACTGTGCTCCCCTCCTACACACACACTGCCTCCTCCCCCCTCGCACTACAATGTGA